GGAGGCGGGGGAGGTGACCCCCTTTTCTGCTTTTGTTTTCGGAGGGAGTGACCCTCTTGATTCCGAGGGAGTGACCCTTTCTATGCAGGCGGACCCTGCTATGCACTATGCCGTCTCGCGCTTGGCAGTGCATACGAATGTGCAGCTCCTTCATCCGGCTGCGCTCTTGGAGTTCCGCAGGCACTTGCGTGAGCTCGTGGAAGCAGGTGAAACCTATGAGGCGGCCCTCCTGTGGGGATCTGTGTTGGAGGTCCAGCACTTTCCGCCACCCCCTGGTGGACTCTTGGAGGGTTTGCCAGCGGGTGTTCCCGCGATCAGGACGGTTCCTTGTGTCGAGGTTGACTGCGCTCGCTGCCTTGGAGGCAGGGGTGGGTTTCGCTTCCCGTTTGTGGGCACCTATGCTCGGCGCTCCATTGTCGTCTCGGCCGACATGCCTCCGGCTCAAGCCTGAGAGAGCTACCACAGGAGCGGCGAAGACCGCCTCAACGTGGCAGATGTATTCAGCTTGGGCTCAGGTCTGTGGCCAACGGATTTGCTGCCGGACCACGTCAACCGCCTTTTGCGCCATGTGGAGAGCCAGGAGCATGCAAGGGGAGCGACCCCTTCGCAGCTTTGGCAATTGTGGCGAGCCTGGCAGTGCGGCGAATTACTCTGGCGGGAGCCGGCCTACTTTCCGGTTCCCTCCTGGGCGGAGGGTCGACGTGACGGCCGGGCGCGGGCCCACCGAGCGTTTTGGCTTTTGCTCGGGGCCTTGGAGGCAGGGTTGGCCATCCTCCCTGCACCTTGCAACAGCTGTGGCACGCCCTCTGTTTTGCAATGCCGATCGTGCCAGCAGCCAGCATGCCTTGACTGCCTGTCCCGCTGCACCTCATGCTCGTAGGCTAGGGGTACTGCTCGCAGCAGCGCTTGCTGTTGGGCCGATGTCGGGCATCTATGCAACTCAGGCCATGGAAGGCCGCGCCGGTGCGGTGGATGCGCCTCAGGGGACCGCTGCCGAAACGGTCGTGGACCGCATGGCGGCTCAGGCGGTGGCCTCGTTCCGCGAGCGGCGCGGCCTGCTTGAGGACAACGATTTCGCATATGCATTCTCGTCCTGGGAAGAGGCGGCGGAGAATGCTGGACATGCGGTGGCCGATGCCTGGTCGGAGTTGTCCCAGGACATGGAGGATGACGCCCTGATGAGTCTGGTGGACAGAGCAGTCGTGGCGGGCACCGCGGCGGCTTCACCTACTCAGCCTGTGGTCCGCCTTAGCAATCTGATGCGGAAGCGGCCGGTCGCCGAGCGGGCCCCTCAGCGGCAGAACAGGCCGGCGGTGTCTGGGCCAGTGGCTGCCGAGTTGGCGGACTACTTGGTGGCTGCGGGTGCGCGGCGCCCAGCGGATCTTCGGGGTGATCGTCGTCAAGAGTGGGTCTCCTTTCTGAAGGTTTTGGCGGCGAACAAGGTCGCGGCGGCCGAGGAGGCGACCATCAACAAGACCCTGAAGACGCTGCGGGAGCTGTCTCAGTGGCAGCAGCTGCGAGGCCGCTCGGATGGGCTGGGTGACATCGACTCCATCGACCTCTTTGCTTTCCTTCAGGAGGGCACTCAGGCCCCGGCTCGGGCGTTGGCTGGTTTGCGTTGGTTCGTCAAGTTGTCGGGCCTCCCTTGGGAGTTGGGTGATCTACGGCCAGCACCGGCCCTTGGGCGGGAGGGACCCGCCCAGGCCGCGGTGGCTGAGCCAGGCATGATCGAGGAGCTCGAGCATCGGATCGCCAGGATGTACGAGCAGAGCGATCCTCGATGGTCCTGCCTCCTGGCCGATTGGCTCATCATGGCCGGCTGTGTGCGCCACAAACACCTCGAGAGGTCGTTCCCCATCTGCGTCACACAATCGACTGCCCACATGTGGTGTGGCCGTCCCATTCGCGAGCTGGCTTCCGTTGGTCAGTGCCAGCGCACTTCACAGAAGGCTTTGCGTGGGCGGAGGCATGGGTGGAGTTTTATGGCTCTTTGCCGGCAGGGCGCGGAAGCACTGTGGCTTGTGCTTTGAGCCGGCCGGTCGGCCCTGGCAGTTGCGCCAAGTCACCATGCTGACGCAGGAGGTCTTCAGCGATATGGAGCCGCCGGTCACAACCTATTCGTGGCGGCGTGTGGCGCCGTCTGTGGGGACGCTTCTCCAGCTGGACGAGCTGAGCATGCTCGCTCTCGGTGACTGGCAGGACAAGGGCCGCATACGAGAGACTGGAGCGGCAATGCCTTTGCACTACAGCGGCACTCGTTATGCTGCCAGCGTGCGGGTTAAGCACCTTGTTCTCTCTGCCACAGCTCGGTGCCTGTCCTTTGACACTTGGTCAGAGGTACCGCCAGGCCGCCTTGACGCCTCTGATCCAAGCCTTCGCGACGAGGTCGGTGAGAAGGTGCGCCTTGACTCCACGGTCATCTGGCGTGCCTTGCGGGCACCCCCGGCCCCGAAACCAAGCTTGCATTCTGGTATGCGCCTCTGCCCGGCTTTTCAATCCCAAGCCTGTCGGGCGGTCGACTGTGCGTTGGCTCACCAGTGTGCGGCGGTGCTCCGGTCGGGGCGAGTTTGCGGCGGGAGGCATCCAGCCCGCGAGTGCCATGACCGTCGCTTGGTTAAGCCGGGGGATGTGCCACCGGCCATTACAACAGCGCAAGAGGCTGTGGCGGGAGAGACCCGCCCACCCTTGCCTCGCTCCCGGCAGCCTCCCTTGCCTGTGGTATCCACTGAGGAGTCGGACATCGTGGAGGTCGAAGTCGAAGTGGAGGAGGCAGCGGCTACACGCCGGAAGGCGAAGCCCAAGACAAAGGCCATGCCCAAGAAGCGCCGGGCCGAGCCCAAGGAGGAGCCTCGCCCGCGAGTTCAGCTTAAGCCTCGGGCTCCTCCGCCAGAGCCTTCCTCGCCAGCGGCAGGGCCGCCAGCGTTGCCTGGCGCGTCGTGCGCAAACCGGCCGCGGAGAGCCGAGCCAGCTTCCTCGTCGTCAGAGCCGGCACCTCGCCTTGTGGCATCCTGGGTAAATGGGTGGATTAGCCAAGGTCGTCCGGTTCCAGGGACGCGGGGGCCGCCAAGGGTGCTGATCGTGGCCGTGGCAAGAAGAGACCGTTCGAGGACGCAGAGTCCCGCTATGACCGGCTAGCGCGAGAAGGCCATCGTGTGGACCGCCGGGCGTTGGAGTTTCCGACGGAGATTTGGCGCAGCCTGGCCGGGGGCAAGTTGTACCTTGGAGGCCTGCCCACTCGTGCTAATCAGGCCAACTTCCCCGACATTGCGCTCCAGGTCACGGCCATGGCGAAGTCCCCGGCGGAGCGTGGAGGAATTGTCCTCCCGGGTCCTCTTGAATCCGGCCCAGGATCTCTCTCTTGACGAGTTCCAGGCTGAGTTGCGGGAGAGCCTCGATCAGGCCTGCTTGCTGTTCGCAGCGCTTGATTGCAGCACCAAGTCTTCCATCCGCGAGATCCCGCTTCAGTTGCCCACTGGCCGGCCGGGCCCGTCGCCCCTTCGGAGTCACGAGCATCCGATGGGTTTGCCGGGACTCAACATTCAGGACCAGCGCCGAGTCTCCAAAGACAATTGTGCTTGCAAATTCGTCTTGGATGCAGCAACGCATTCTGGAGCGTGGAGGCGGGGCGATTCGTGAGAATCCCAACAACAGCCTCCATTGGTGTATTCCACAGGAGGCGGAGATGTGGGTGTCCGACCAGTGGTGGGATACAAGGTACGACGCCTGTTGCTTCATGGGTGCTCGCCGCAAGCGGCAGCGTCTCCGGCACAATATGGGAGCTGACCCAGGGTCCCGCTTTGTTGTGCCATCGTACCCATCATCCGGCAGAATGGCAGCCATGGGAGGATGAGGGCAGGATCGTGTATCCTTCTGCGGAGGAGGCTGAGTACACCGCCCCGTTCGCCTTCCATGTGGCTGTGGCGTCCAGCTGGTGGGCTTGCCGGCTGCGGTTCGCCAAGCTGCATGTCCCGCGCGGGCCCTTGGTGCAGTGTGTGGGCCGCCGTGAGCACTGGCTCGAGATCGACTCCCGGGCCCTCCGGGAGTGGGCCATGATGGCTCCGTTGGCTCACACTTGGCCTCCGGCCCATTGACCCAGGTGAGGCTGCCCGCGTGCCCCGGCGCGTCGAGGTCTCTGCTGTTGTGCGGGAAGATAAGTCGTTGCCTGACAATGTGGTTTACGTCGGTCGAGGCCACCACTCCCACCGGCTTCCGGTGACACAGTGGGCCTCGCCTTTCATCCCTGGCCACAATTGCGGTGCTGATGAGTGGTTGGCTCTGTACGTCGAGCATGTTATGGCCAACCTCCAAACCGATTTGCCTTGCTTGGAGGGCAAGGTGCTGGCCTGTGATTGCCCGCTCTCGCAGGTTTGCGAAGGCGACCTTCTGGCCGGGCTGGTGTTCGACGCGGGCAGGCCAGCAGGTGCTCCACACCCGCAGGCAGCGGGTCGCCCGCGCCGCTCGCCTGGCCGTCAGAGTCGTCGGGTCCTTTTGGCAGCGTCGGCGGCCGCCCTCCCTACTCCGGTGGGTGCTTTTATTCCATATTTGCACCAGGATTCGGTTACGGCGGCCTTTGCCTCTCTTTTCCCGGAGGAGCTCCTGTCAGGTTTCCATTTTCCGATGATCGAGGACTTGGTGAACGCCCCTCCTTTCACCGACTATTTGCAATGGTGTCGAGCTCGCGGTGAAGATTGGGACGGAGCCTTGGTGCCTCAGCTGGTCAGTGGCCAGCAACGCCAGTGGCAGCGCATGTCTGAGGGTCAGCAAGCCGGTGCCATGGCCCACAGGGCCGCTCTCCCGCCAGTGCTCCCGTTTGGTCTCAGTCCCACTGAGCACTTTGAGCTGGCCCGCCAGGTGGCACGGTACCCGACACCATTCGAACAGCCCCCGGCACTCGACCTCGATTTTTGCTTTGCGGCGGAGGTTTGTGCCAAGGAGCGCGGGACGCTCAGGCAGCGGCGGCGCGAGTCGCTGGGTGCCATTCGCGAGTTGCACCGCCGATGGCGGGGTGTTGACTCATGTCTTCGTTCCAGGCAGCCGTCCCCTCTCCGAAAGGCTCGTGTCGTGGGGGGACCCGACACTGCCCACTGATTTCCTTTTCGGCATGGCGGCGGTTGGGACGGCGCCTTGGTATGGTGTCTTCCCAGCCCAAGCGTTCCGAGAGATTACTCGGGCGGAGGTGCCTGCGGAGGCGGATTCCTCCAATGCCCGCGTGCGGGCGAGCCTGCGTCCGGGCCGTGATGAAGCAGGGTCTGAAGGATGCCGAGAGCGGTTTCTGCACCGCTCCTATGCGCCGCTCCGAGCTGCTTCGAGTCGTCCGAGGGCAGCCTTTTCGACTCATTCCCCGCTGTGTCATCACTCAGAGCAGCGGCAAGCAGAGGATCATCGACAATGCTGATGCCGGCGGCCAATCTCTGCTCAGTTCTGATCCTAACAAGCTGGTCCTGTGCTCGCCTTTGCGTCCAGCCCAGCACGCTGCCTGCCTGCTGTCATGCCTTGACTCGGGTTCTCTCGCTCGTGCGGTCGCCGAGGACGCTTTGGAAGGCGGAGGGGAGGATTGGCCGGAGGCATACAGACATTGCCCGATGGCCTGGGAGTCTTCCCTTTGCTGTGTGGTGACGTGGTGGCACGTCGGGTGGAGCGAGCCTGCCTATCAGGTGTACACAGGCCTTCTCTTTGGGCTTCCGCTTGCCGTAACGAGCTTTAATAGGTATTCCCGGGCGGCAGAGGCCTTGGGACGTCGGTTGTTGGCCATTCTCGTGTCCATGTTTTTTGACGATGCTCATCTTACAGACTGGGCGTCTTCTCGGGGTTCCGCCCAGGCTGCTTTCTCGGGCTTGAATGAGTGCCTTGGTTCTCCCCTCGCCGAAGCCAAGCGCCAACGGATGGCATCTCGGGGTACCTTCTTGGGGCTCGATTTTGATTTCCGACAGTGCCTTCAGAGCGGGGTTGTTCGTTTCTTTGTTCGGGATCGGCTGGTTGAGAAGGTGCAGGACATGTTGGACCAGGCTGTCGCATCGCGGGTGCTTCTGCCTGGGTTGGCTGCCAAGCTGTACGGCACTTGCAACTTTCTCGAAGCAGGCATGTATGGTCGGGTCGGCGCCGGCGGATTACGTGCTATCCGCGAGCGCGCAGATGAGGGCGGTCGGCGGTCGGGAGTTGACCCCGCCTATTCTCGCCTGCTTCTCCCTCATTCGCGCTGTGTTGTCAGTTCGGCCCGAACGGGAGTTCGAGATCCTTCCGCGGGAGTGCCCCCGCTTTCTCGCCGCGAGTGACGCGGCGGAGGATGTGCCAGGCCTAGGCTCGGGCGGCTTTCACCGGGTCTGGCTGGACCCAGTGGAAGTTCGGGAGAGCTTTGTGTCTGTCATCGACCCCGCGATCTATGCCTGCTTCTCGGCCGGGGATCATAAGATCGCCCAGCTTGAGTTGGCCATGGTCCTTTATGCTTTGGCAGCCCGAGCTCCTGCTTTCCGGGGTCGGCGGGGCTATTGGTATATAGATAACATCGCAGCCTTGATGTCTTTAATCCGTGGCCGCTCCAGTTCTCCCGATTTGGAGCGCTTGGCTCAGCTAAGCCATATTGCGATGTTCGCCTTGCGCACTTCTTTCTTCTTCGAGTACATTCCGTCCAAGACGAACTGGGCTGACGCGGTCAGTCGTGT